AAAGTCAAGTCTAAACGCATCTGTTTCTGACCAAACTGTGAGATCCTAGAAAACAGAGATTGCATCTTATTCACCGCTGTATCTTTGGTACCAAGCACGGTGACTGGCCAATTATATGGGAAGAGACTGAGACTGAAAATAAAAAGACCTGTACGTATTTAAGACCTTGCTCTTCACTTACCAATGTTATGATCTTAGAAAAACTTATCTCAATATATATTTTGAGATAATAAATACAAAAATGATTTATGATCTGACAGCTTTATTTATCTGGTACAAATAATTTGTTCCTTTTTTACATATGTTTAATAGGAACTTAATCAGGAAGCTCTTCAAGCAATCAAATTCAGGGGAATTGGTCAGGTCAACCGCGCGACCAGCACGCTAGCTTCATGCTAGAGGTTCTAAGCATAGAAGTTAACTAGTGAGATCAAAATAAACAAACTCAAATCACCTTTTTCTTTGACCACGTCTGAGAGGCTCCCCCTCTGGCTCCTACCTCCAGCCACCCGGTGGGGCAGCGAGGTTTACACAAGACTAACAGGAGAGAGAGGCAGGGCACGCCAGAGAGTGGCCTTTTATTGGGCAACAAGAAATTCAGGGGAAAATTCCATCCAATGAAGGTCGAGGGGGACAGCATTCCAAGGTCAGGGTCAGTGATGGGTCTCAGGGTCAATGGCCAGTCACACCCCCACACGGATGGGCTCTCGCACCTAGAAAGGGTGGGAATTAGTTCTGGGACAGTCAGGGAGGTGCCAATCACGTGCGAGACTGGCTTCCCACAGACAGGCTGGCAGCACATACCTATAGTCCCAGCTATTCTGTAATCCTAGTGACTCGGGGGGCTAAAACAGGGGGATGGCAAGTTTGAGGCCAGCCATAGCAATTTAGCAAGACACTATCTCCAAATAAAAAATAAAAAGGGCTGGGGGAATAGCCAAAGCAATCTCTTACCCTGCACAAAAGCCATTTAAAGTGGATCAAAGACTTAGAAATTAGACCAGAAATGTATCAACTGCCAGTAGAAAACATGGCTTGTCGATACTTCAACATGTTGGCTCAGCACCTACTTCCAAAGCTCAAGAAATAAAACCAAGAATCAGTAGGTGAGATGCCATCAAATTAAAAGGCTTCTGCACAGCAAAGAAAAGAATAAAGAGCATGAAAAGAGAGCCCACAGAATGGGATACAATCTTTGCCAGCTACTCCTCTGACAGGGATGAATATCCAGAATATATAAGGAACTCCGAAAGCTGAACACCAGAAAGCCAAATAACCCAGTCAATAAATGGGCAAAAGAACCGCAGAAACTTGTCAGAAGAAGAAACACAAATGGCCAACACGTATATGAAAAAGTGTTCAACATCCCTAGCCACCAGGGAAATGCAAATCAAAACTACACTTCGGCCTCATCTCACTCCGGTCAGAATGACGACGATCAAGAATAAAAAAAATATAATAAGTGCCGGCAAGCTTGTGGGAGAAAGATATATTCATACACCGTTGGTGGGACTGCAAATGAGCACAACCACTGTAGAAAGCAGTCTGGGGGGAGAACTGTTAAGGTG